TCGATATTACCTGGGATACGTGAAAAGTGAATTTTTGACCGGGTGCGAATTTGGACTGGTAGATCACCCTCGCAGTGTGTTTTTATTAGCACCCTTTTGCCCAAATCCTAAAAATATTAATTGGGATTTTTCGGAGACCGTCGGATCGTTTCCGGGTTTAAACCGTGGCCGTTGGATCGCGATTATTGCGATTTGACCTTTGCTCTTTCTCTCTCTCTCTCCTCTTTTTCCGCCGGTCTCCCCCTCCCTTTTTGCGTGTCTGACCACCAAACCCCCCACCTACCTCACTAGCCCCATCATTTCCCCTTTTCTTCTTCTTTTTCTTTTTCCCTTCTTCTTCTCCTTCGCTGGTCTTGCTTCTCCCTTGCTTCTGCTTCCCGTCGGCTACTGCTTCTGCTTCTTCATTTTTGCTGCCGCCGACTAGCCCTTCTCGCCGGAACCAGCCACCCGCCGTGCGTCGTCCACCTCCGCCGCTCGTCACCGTCGTCCCAGCTGCCCGGGCGCCACCGCCCCAGCCCTCGTTTCCGGCTGTTCTCCCAGCAAGGCGCGAGCAGCGCCCCTCGCCGGAGCCGATCGCGCCTCCCGTCGGCCCAGCCGTCATCCTCCCCGCCGCGAGCAACCGTCGCTGCGCCTTCCCCCCCAGCCATCGTCGTCCGTCCATCGCCCCGACCGAGCCGTGTCCGCCTTGTCCAGCCGCCGCGGTCAAGCTCCGCTCGCCTCCGTCGCCCGCCACCGCCGTCCAGCTGAGCTTCGCCGTGCGTCGCCGTCCACCTCCGACCGTCGCCGCTGCTGTCCCAGTCGTCGGGAACAGCCAAGCCACGCCGGAGCAGCCCCCACAGCGGCTGTCTCCCTCGCCGCGCTCGTTCGCCGTCGTCCGCCGGCTGCCGAAACCGAACCGGAAGCCACCGTGGACCGCCCTTGTTGCCGCCGTCGTACTCGCGTCGTCGCCGGCGTTAGCCGGGTAAGTTAACCCCTAATCCCGTGTTTAGGGTGTTAAATTTGCTTAGGGTAGTTTAATTTATGTTTAGATTAGTATTTTGTTTGTTTTATTGGGTTTAAGTGATAGGTTATCCGTCGTTGTGCGATAGGTTATCGCGATTGTGGTGATAAGTTATCAGTTATTTTATTGTTATTGATTATTATGTTAAATCAATTATTTTCGGAATTTAAATATTATTTTATTAGTTAATAAATTAATTTCGAATTAAATATTATTATTTTTATTATTAAATAATTAATTTCCGAAAATTAAATAGTATTATTTTCGGAAAATTTTCTAACGTTAATTGTGATGTCAATGTTGGATTTCGCCGTATAAGTTGGCGTATTTAGGAAATGATTTGAATGATTTCGATTCGAGGAAATATTTTGACATTTTGGAAAAATTAAATTATTTTCGGATATTAGTAATTAATTAATTCCGAATTTAATTTATTGTTATTTCGGAAAATTTTATAATTTCAAATTATGATTTCTAGCTTGAATGTTGGCGATTTTGCCGCGTATTGTCGTATTAAATTGATTTTATGGCAAATTGTTTGATCGAAAGTTTACGTGGAAAATTTATGAGACTTTTGGAATTAAATTATTTTATTCTGTTATGCCCAAGTAATGTTAGTGATACTTTGTGGTTGATATTCGTGTTTGAAATCGAAGATTGCAAGAATTGATTGACTGTTGGCATGTGTGGCCACTTGGTATTATTGCATGACATTAAGGAGAGCATGATTCATGTATGCATGGGCTAATTGAGAAGATAATAATTAGCCGGAATGCTTGTGTGCTCGTGTGGTCACACGTTGGACCCGTCTTGCTGTGTATCGCTTGACGATGCTCGATTTATCGGATGCACAGGGATTATCACAGAGTGCCGATACCCCGGATGCCTTGTCGCGGCCGAGGCGGACTCGATGCTCCTACGGGATACCATCTTCTTGTAGATCGTTTGATGTTGCCGTATTGGAATGCCGTCTTGCGCTGGATCGTTTGACGTAGCCGTGCCCGACGGGCGGGACGGAGCCCGGTTTTTACCGGTAGACCGCCATCTTGCTTGCGTATCGCTTGATGTGTGGTGGCCCCGGGGGCGTAATAATTGGAATACGTGCGATGCATAGTGCTTGATTATGGGGTAGAAACTGCTAGGCATGGTATGGGACGTGCCCAAGTGGGTTTTACCTTATAATCGAGACACGCGCGACTGTGATGCATTAATGCATGGAAAATCTCTTTAAATGCTTCGAGTATGTGACATATGCATTTCATCAACGAGTGTACCAAGGCGAGGTAAGGATGCCTGTGGTTGTTTAATAATGTATTGTTGGTGCTGTGTTACCTGCTTAGGGACCCCCGTGCGAGTAGGCCTCCTAAGCGGGGCTTAGGCCGTTAACTTATTGAGACTTTCGTCTCATTTGTTGTTGTTAACCCCTTTTTCAGGCCCTTAGCATGTCAACGCACCCAGGGTGGTTCAGGTCGTTTAAATGGGCTTGTAAGAATATTCCCAGGGGTTAATCAAGTGGAAATTAAAATAATGTTGTTTGGCTGTTGTGATTTGTTTTCCTGACTATCCCTATTTGTTGTTGTCCGGGGATTGTTGTGTTCGTTTCCGCATGCGTAATTAAAAGATAAAATGAAGGGTCGGCGACGAGTCCTGGGACGTCGCATTATAACGACCGTAGCGGGATGTCGTGCGCCCGCGGGGTTCGGGGCGTGACAACCGGCCAAAGATAAAAGAAGAAGGAAAAGAAAAAAAGAAACAAAGGAAAAAAAGAAAAAAATCAGAAAATTATTTAAAAATTCAAAAAATATTATTAAAAATTGTCCGCGTCAACGCGTCGGTGCCATGTAGGCCGACCGGTGTCCACGTTAGTAAAATCTGGCCAAAATTAGTCGGAAGGACTGAATTGGCACAAAGACAAAATGTTTATGACTGAATTGGCACCAATGGAAAAGGTTTATGATTTTTTTGACACTTTTCCCGTTATATGATCAATTCATATTGGGCTTAGCCCATCTCGATATGAGGTGATTGAATGTGGTTAGACGATCGGTGTAGACCAATATTTTTAACGATCACCTGTCATAGATGGGTCTATAGGATCTGTTGTATATATAACCTATGATTCTCGCTCTCCTCCATATATTATAAACTTGTGGTTTGTCTATTGAGATTGGTCGAAGGAAGAGAAGGAGAGGAAGACCTAATCACAGTATTCTTGTGATCATGGTCGGTTCAATTGGGTACTTATTCGGAACAGAATTTCCGAATCTATTTCAACATGTGAAGTTAGAGCATTTGTATATAGGTTTAGAATCCAATTGATACTTAATGTTGACGATCGTGCATGGTGCTTATATTGTAAGATACATGTACCGATACTTTAGATATGAAATTTGACAGATCTAACTGCTTAATTTCAAAACTGATGTGGGGCTATTTTTACTTATGGCATGTCGAGTGAATTTTGAGTGCTAATTCTGTTTGTGCTTTGAGAATTTTGAAATTGCAGCCTAGAATATATATATACAAAAATTGTAACCTACAATTTCTTCATTTAGTGGGTCAACCTACTGAATTGAGATAGGGCTTTTGTTCCCAATATTAGCATGTATAGTCTTGAAAATTTCATGTCATGAATCGTGACTTGTGATTTGATATATGGTATTAGAAATTTGAGAGGCAAGTTTCTGGAAATTACCTCAAACCCAAATTTTTATTTTTTTTGGCAATAACCTCGAACGCGAGTTCACACATTTCAAAATGGATTTTTCTGCTCGTTATATGTTGAAATTGACTACATAAGCGGCTAACCCAATAACGAAAGTTTCTTAAGCCCATTGATAATTGGGTCGATAACAAGCTTCGGTTGTCCACGTTCATCTGTTTGTGGCCTCTGAATCAATTTTTTTTCCCAATTCTAGGGTTTTAAACAAACTGAGTACTGTGTTAATGGGTGTTTTAGTTTCTCAAATAAATAGACGTATTATGAAATCAAATGCATGTTTTATGTTTCTGATGTATTTTTCGGCATTAATATGTGTTGAGGCTAAGGTACTCTTAATCGAGGATCTTTACCACGGCCAAATGTTGGTTAATTTACATTTTGGTTTCGAATTCGACTATCATTAAAAGCCAAGTTTAATGTTCAAATTAAGTCAGACTATCAATAGCGCAGGTCAAAGGTTTATAATACCCAACGTAAATTTGCCCCTTAATGCGCTTGAATTCGACCAATTTGACTCAGTAATTTGTTGGGTTCGCACACTGGGTCAAAAACGGAGGTAATATCCTACTAGGGTCGAGCCACCATTGATATAAGTGGACACATACGCCAAAGGAATCTTGATAGGTCTTATCACGAGGCATTAAGCGTGACCACAGGTTCGACAATAAGCACTAGATTGATTAGTGGATCAAGTCATTCATTGGTGTGTGGTTAGGATATTTATATAGATATTTCCGATGTGTAGGAGCTTATGTGAAGCATATGAAAACACCTTTGATCTTTAATATATGCGCGTGTGTGGCAACTGAGCAGTCATGCTTTGGTTTGAAATGTTTATGAGTATGCATAGTGGATGTTGATTTGCTTAGAAGAGAAGTGTTTTACTCATTGAACGATGATTTGCTTATACCATTCATTTCAATTATTTTTTAGTTTTTACGATTACCAGTGGCGAGAGACTTTTTGGGAGTTGATTTTTAGTATAGTTTTGAGATAGTTGTACATATACTTGTACAATTACTTTTGACAAGTTCGATTTGACTAGTCACTAGAGATGTATACTTTGTTTTTTTGAGTTTTCCGGTTAGCTGGTGAAATGTATATGCTCTTTTTAATATGCTCTATAACTCTGATTCTTGTAATCAACTTGTCGTTCTATCAAGTGGATATATATTTTGAGAACAAGTTTACGATGATTATATATAAAGCCGCGTCTTTCGGATAGGACGGTTATATCATTTCAACATACCTGACGAGATAGGGTGTGAAATGAGGTACCTGTTCATCCGGTTCAGATCACGATCCCACACAACCATACCTCTATATTTCACCAAGACACCAACATTATAATACATTGTATTCAACAATATATGTTCCAAACCCTTGTCAAAGGTTTCCCTCTTGCAAGGCAAGTAAATATTTCACCTTATTTTCAATGGGTGAGATCTTCTCTTCTTTTCGGAAGTGCACGACCAAGAAGTCATCGTTTAGGTGACACTTTTATTATACGAAGAGCCATCGTGACTTGCGAGAGAGATCTCTATATCATGGCTCAAGAAAGCTGGCCGCAATCAGCAACCATGACGGGCTTGGAGGTCCTGCCGGAGGACGACCCGACCTTCTCGACGGCCTTGATCACATCCATTCCCTCCACCACCCGCCCGAACACCACGTGCTTCCCATCGAGCCACTCCGTCTTCGCGGTGCATATGAAGAACTGGGACCCGTTCGTCCCGGGCCCCGCGTTGGCCATGGACAGGATCCCAGGCCCCGTGTGCTTCTTTATGAAGTTCTCGTCCGCGAACTTCGCTCCGTATATCGACTCCCCTCCGGTCCCGTTCCCCGCCGTGAAATCACCTCCCTTACATGGAAGAGATGAAAGATTCAGCATACTCTCCGACTTAAAAGTTGCAAGGTTCGGAAAATCGACTTCCGTCTCCTAAAGAAATAAAATGTCGGCAATAACCACTCTACAAGCTTCAAGACGAGGTTTAGACCTTCCCTTTTCTACGTGCTTGCATCACTATAGGCGCTTCAACTCTATCCCTTAGCCCGTGAGCTAACCTCACTGATTCTCTAGGATTATCCTAATTCATCACTTAAGGAAAAAAAATCTTCAAGATTAGTTGACACGCACTTTCGCGAGATTAATTCGACGCACAAAGAACCGACGGTCGAGTAGAACTAATTCATGAAATCACTATATATATTAGGCCTATGGAATATTCTAATCGCGAATTAAATATGGACTTTCTCTCTATCTATTCCTCAACTTAATTAGTTTATTGAATTGTATATAGATTTTGTTACTCATCCCTCGGTGCCAATCTCAAGATCACTCGATCACTCGACCATTCTCAAGATCACATCAATTTGATACTCTGATCAGCATACTCCACAGTCAAACTTCCTTCCGTTGACTTTTCTCGATGGTATTTTGAGGTTAGTCTTTCGTGTGTGTAATCACAGCAAGCCATAATCTTACATTCCACCATCTTATCGACAAGTTAAGAAAATTCAGACAAATTTAAGAAGTACACCATCTTATCAGAAAGTTAAGAGGATTAAGATAGAATTTAAAATTTACGATTATGGACACTTTAAAAAGACTTCCGAAGTTACCTGGCACATGAAGCCGGGTATGACCCGGTGGAACTTGGAGCCCTTGAAGTGGAGCGGCTTCCCGCTCCTCCCGACCCCCTTCTCGCCGGTGCAGAGCGCCCGGAAGTTCTCCGCGGTGCGCGGGGTCGTGTCCGCGTACAGCTCCATCACGACCCGCCCGGCGGGCACTCCGCCGATCGTCATGTCGAAGAAGACCTTCGGGTTCGGCATCGCTACGGTCAACACGGGTCAACAAGTCGAGATCGAGAGAGGGGCAGAGAGCGAACGGTGGATGGATGGTTTGCAAGGCCCGTGAAGGCGGAGGCGTTGATATGTAGGGGGAGGAGAGGCCCGGCGGCGTTGGGGTGGACGCGTGTCGAGCGTGGATTGGGCAGCGGGAATTTCTGTGAAAAAAGCAACTGCGTGAGATGGACGCGACCATCTCGACGACAAGTGGTCGCTAATGGCCGAACGACGAAGGAGGCAAAATTGATTGGGGAAATGGACCCCACCTTGGGCAATTATTATTATTAGGGTTAATACCACGAAAAACCCTAAACTGATATACTTGTGACACATTTACCCCAAACTATTTTTTTGACCATAAAAAACCCCAAACTGGTACATCTGTGACAATTTTACCCCAAACATACCACAAAAAACCCTAAACTGGTACACATGTGACAATTTTACCCCGAACTAATTTTTAATATTATTTTTTCTTTTTTTTTCCTTCACTTGCAACCTTTGGCCGGTCGCCGGTCCGGCAACCGGCCAGAGGCAGAAGCCGGCGAGGGCCGCCCTCCCCGGCGTTGGGCGAGGGCGACCCTCGCCTGCGTCGGGTGAGGGTTGGCCTCGCCAGATCCGGCGAGGGCGGCCCTCGCCGGCTTCCGCCTCTGGCCGGTCGCCGGACCGGCGACCGGCCAGAGTTTGAAGATGAAAAAAAAAAGAAAAGAAAAGAATAAAAAATAAATAAATATTCGAAAAAAATAAAAAATAATATTAAAATTTTAATTCAGGGTAAAATTGTCACATATATACCAGTTTGGGGTTTTTTGTGGTAAGTTCAGGGTAAAATTGTCACAAGTGTACCAGTTTGGGGTTTTTGGTGATCAAAAAAATAGTTCAGGGTAAAATTGTCACAGATGTACCAGTTTGGGGTTTTTTATTGTCAAAAAAATAATTTGGGGTAAATGTGTCACAAGTGTACCAGTTTAGGATTTTTCGCGGTATTAACCCTTATTATTATTATCCATCATTGGTAGTGCGAAATGGACATCGAGAGATTTTTTTTCGAATTTTTAAAATCCGTTCGGAGCGATTTTCGTATTTGGATTTTTATTAATGGGTGTCATCGGATCGGAGCACTCTGATTAAATACCTCGACGAAGAAAAAGTTGTCGCTTCCCGTGCAGCGTCTCTCTTGTGTTAACCACGCTATCGATATGCTAAAGATTGAAAAAATTAATCGTTCGATACGATTGATCGAGACCATTTTATGTTTTATCTTTTCGAATGTTGCGGTTCTAATTATTTGGTTTTCATTAATTGCGTGGATTATCTAGACATTTTTAAAATAAAAGCATGAATTTTTAGAGTTCAAGGGCTTTTAAGTTTTGGCAACAAAATCAATTATACGTACCTTTTTTTTGGTCGGACAATTATACCTACTTGAAAAATATGAGAAGAAAAAAAGGGCCCACAAGCTGTAAAAATCCTCCAATTAGCAAATTTTCCAATCTAGAATTGTAACCAAAATCTATCGAGAAAATATTAGGTAGTCCTGCCTTACTAAGTTAGCGTTAGGGCTGTCAAAAGAATCCGGTCAAACACGACTCGAAAATTTTCGTATTAAGTCGGATTGGACCTCAGCTTATTTGGGTAATGATAAAAATAAATGGGTGTTGTTTTGGATCACCCAAGCTCAACCAAAATAATGAAACCATTTCTTATTCGTTCGTACCAAAAGGCCAATCAAAACAATGAAACCCTTGATGGCGGCAGCTGAGGCAGCTGTTGCTCTCCTCCAAGGAGCCGAATGTCCTTGTCCACGACCTCGATGGCGGCGGCGATGGCGGCCTCGGCCCCGCCACAACAGGAGAAGAAAACCGGAATTGGCGCCCCCGTCTCGGGTCGATCCCTCGCCAGCTGATTCCGCCGCCATGAAGCTCACCGTGAAGATGCACAAAAGGCACTAACTTTGAAATTAAAGTGCAGCCCACTGACACCGTGAGTTACCTCCTCCTCCTTCGATCCATTCGTTCATTTGGGTTTTGTTTATTTCCATTGATTTCTTGTTGGAGATATGCGAGGATCAATTGCGGATTATGATTGATCAACCCAGGATTATCGAGGATTATAATTGATCAATTATATCAATCCAAGATTGGATTTGATTTCATGTATCTTCTTTTATTGTTTCCTTAGTTAACCTTTCATTGTATTGTAAAGAGGAGCTTATACAATGTAAAGTGACAAGTTCAAGGAATACAAACATACATCATTCTCTCAAACTTTCTGTTGAAGATTGGGGTCGTTCGTAATCTAGAATTCTATGAGTTTTTACTTAGGCGGATGCAAAAGGTCGTGTTTTTTCCGCCTACAGTCAAATTTACTGGGTTGTGGACAATGAATTGGTAAGGTGTTGAAGGACAAGACCACATTGGCTGACAAAAGCTCTCTAAAGATGGCTTTCTTGTTTTGGAGATCAAGACCGTCGAGTTCCAAATTCAGTCCGACGGCCATCGACGTGACTGGCCCCGGCGGCGCCGCGGTGCAGGGGAGCGGCTGCAATGGCGGGGAGCAAGGGCAAGGGCTCTGTACTGTTTCTGAAACATAAAACCCAACCCGGACTGACCCAACCCGATCCGATCGCGTGGCCGACCTGATCCGATCATGTGCTATTTCCTGTTCGGGTCTTGTCAATGGGTTGGGTCGGGTCGGGCCAAGCACATATGTTCAGTATTTCGGATCAGGTCGGTTATCATGAAAACCCAAATGGCCCCACTTTTCAAATTTTTCATCTCTTCTCCCCGTTACTCTTTGTCCCTATGCTTCTCTGCAATGCCTATGTCCCATTGAAGCAGCACCCACACCATCCTCTGTAAGAATGTGTCTAAATATAACAACAGAGTATTGTTAGTATCAAACATGCATTATCTGTCGGTAGATAAAGAAGTTGCAATTACAGCATCACAAGGGAAGCACATACAACAATATTAATAGTAGCCGTAAATATAACTTGTGCTAGTGAAATTACAGCTGAATGCAAGTTGCAAATGTCACGGGTCGATAGTTTGGGAACGACCCGTGCGACGACTTTGGTCATTGGAGTACCTAAGCCAAGCCCCTTTTCTTGATCGCTCACCCGGATCGTAGAGAGAATCTACTTGATCGCTCACCCGGATCGTAGAGAGAATCTAGAGAGAGAAGGCTTTCTATTGATTCAAATGTTGGATGGATACAAATGAGAAGAAGGACACTCCCTTTATATAGTAGAGGGCCTCATATTACATCCGTTGATCGACTATCAATTTAATGGTTGATATCGCATCTCCTCGTTCGCCAACTACCGGCATTTATATCGAGAATTCTCTAGACGACGGCACAATTATCGTATCGCCCGTCCTTGGGAATGTTCCGGAAGCTTCATTAGGGTTTGGACGAGCATTCTTCGATGTTGCACAGTCTTTGATGCATGAAAACCTCTCGACCGTGACACAAACATGTGATGTTCAACGGGGGTAAGTACATCGTCGAGAGTCAGTTTATGGGTGGCCCCGTAAAATATTGAAAGTAAAGAGAATATTCACCATTATGTTAATAACCATTTCCTGTCTTCCGGTGATAGTTTTGTTGACACCTTAAAATAACCTTTATGGGCCGCAGCAAACCGATAGAGTCCAAAAAAATGTCATCGGATGGTCGGTCCATGAGGTTAAAAGAAACACGCGAATAAGGACGATTGTGGTTACCGACGGCTAGATCATGATTCAAAAGTCAGCATAGCAAACGATAGGTAAATTACCGAAGAATCCGTCGAGGCTAAAATTCAACCGCCTTGTGGATAACATAGTTCAGTTACTTGGAAACATCTCGAATGTTCCGGGAATAGTTTGAATTTGAAATAGTAACCGCTGCAACGGTTATCTATTTAGTCTGGCTATTATGAGATTTTGATGGGACCACCGCCACCTGTTCTAAAAGCTTAAACTTTTAGATGAAGGTGTTGTTTAATATTTAATTATTTTAACACTCCCTCTCACGCTTAGTCGATCTTTTTGACTAGTACTAAGCGTTGTCATATTTAATTGGGGAGGCAAATGGGGCCTGGAAAATTTGAATTCAGGATCTCCAGCTTTGATACCATGTGAGATTTTGGTTGGACTACCGCCAACTGTTCTAAAATCTTAAACTTTTAGATGAAGGCGTGATTTTAATATTTAATTATTCTAATAGCTATAAATAGCTGACGAAGTGTCGTTGTAAATGGATCCGCGATCAACCAGTGAAACAAGATATATTCATTTTCGCAAGTTATCTTTGGTTACTCGCATTTACTTTATTTGCTTTGCCTTTACCCTTTACTCGCATTCATTATTTCCTTTATTCGTAGTTTTTGCTAGTTAAAAACCGAACTATTCCTTTCCGAACCGCCATAGAACTCTTTACACATAAAAAAGCCGAAGAGCCAACTTCGGTTAAAGGTATTTCGTCGGATACCTTTTTCGGCGAAACAAGTTTCTTATAATTGTCCCTGGGATGAGTCAGGTCTACTCTAGGCTGACTTCCTTTCATCTATCATTAGCGACAGACTATAAATTGATCTTCACGATACAGAGAGCAGGATACAGCAAGTTTTTGCATCTCAAAAAGAGGACTAACAATAGACGAAAGAATACCTCCATGTTGAACAGCAACAAATCTAGGAGAAGATCTCATTGAAAAGAATGTCCGTTCTGTTGATGTGTACGCAAAATTCGCCAGCAACACCACCGACGCGGTTAAATTGTTCTTTTATTTCATTACGTATCGTACTGCTTCTAATCATGTGGTCATCCGTTTGTTGTACTTTGCCAATTTGATTGCAAAATGCCACTGAAATGTAAGAAAATACCTCATCTACATACGAACAAAGCAACTCCACCAGGTAAGGCATTATGGCATCTTGAACAGCTTGCAATGTCCTAGGGAGGTCAATGACCCCATGAGCTTTGGCCACCATACAGTGTAATAGCCATGTTCAAGGCACCCTTTGAATCACCTGCTTTCCGTAAAACCTGAATCCTTTCCCT